CTCACAGCTTCACTGCTCTTCTCTGGCAATATCTCCGGGATTCAGTGCCCTTCTTGTAGTCAGGGACACAGAACTGAACACAGCACTCAAGGTGAGGACTCACCAGAGCTGAGCACAGGGGGATGATCACATCCCTGCTCCTGCTGGCTCCAGCCCTTTGCCCTGCACTTCCAATCTCAACCATCCCTTCTAAGCGCTTGCATCCTCACTTAGGGCTGGGGCTGGAGCTCAAGAGCTCAACGCAACAGGAACACAGCGTGCAACAGGAAGATGCATCTCAAAGCTGACAAGAGTCAACTCTCTGACTTTGGGCACAACTCACCAACCGAGAGTCAGGCCTTGCAAACTTGGCTCATCTGAGCACATCAGACGGGGCTGTACATCAGTCCACAAGCATCCATTTCAATTGCAGCTCCATGTAGGGAAGAACGTCAATTAACAGGTGTGAATGAATTCACTCACAAGCTGCACAGCGAGTCTGTTCTTCATTAAAAAACCCACATGGATTCCTAAGCCAAAAAGAGAACAGCAAGAGCTAATAGTGATGGAAGAGGTTCCTGGTCCTAAACCTCATTCTCTTACCCCAATTTTCCTTGCCTCGTACCCTACCCCAATTCCTGGACGATGCCCACAGCCTTAAACTCAGACCTCAACTCCATGAGCTGAACATGAACAAATCTACCCCGGAGCAACAGGATGGCAGACACACAGTGCAAGACAACCGACCTGCAGAACCAGCTCCATTGGGGTTGGTCCAGATGTTCGTATGCTGCCTTCCAGGGCTCAGGCCAAGCTTGCTGAGCTGCTCCTCCTTTGTGCAGGGGGAGAGCGGTGCAGATGCTATGTGCTGGCTATGCACAGCGTGCCTTTGACTTGATTTTCCTCTCTCCATCTTCCATTAGCAAACAGCATTTCAAATCTTTCCTCGTGAAAAAATCACCTATGTAAAAAAGAATTGGCAATATTGCTTTTGAAGTTTCCTTATTTGTACAATTTGATGTTTTAAAGCAGAAGCTCACCTAGCAATGACCTACCTTAGACAAGCCCAACCTGCAGGGAAAAGTCATTCCTCTGGGTGCAGAGTCTGCAGACACATTTCCAGGGGCAGCAGTCAGCCCACTTCTCAGCACAGCTTCACCAACCACAGAAATCCAGTTTACGCCTGCCGTGCTTTTCTCTCTTCTGAAACACTGCATCGCTGCAAGAAGCAAAGATTAAAATTACAGAACCACAGAATTGCAGGGGACCCCCAGTGATCGTTGAGTCTAAAGTCCCTGCAAAACGGGCTCCCTACAGCGGGCCGCGCAGGTGGGTGTCCAGGAGGGTCTGGAATATCTCCAGAGAAGATGAATCCACAGCCTCCCTGGGCAGCCTGTTCCAGCGCTCCATCATCCTCACCGTGAAGATCCTTTGCATTTTGGTGCAGAACTTCCTGTGCTCCAGTTTGTGGCCATTTCCCCTTCTCCTGTCCCCATAGATCGCTGACAAGAGGTTGGCCGTGTCCTTTGGACTCTCACACTTAACAAATACGTAAGCATTAATCAGATCTGCTCTCAGTCTTCTTTCCTCAAGGCTGAACAGACCCAGGTCCCCCAGCCTTTCCATACTGAGGAGATGCTCCAAGCCCTTTATCATCTTCCTGGCCTTCTGTTGGACTCTCTCCAGGAGATCCTTGTCATTTCTGTACCAGGAAGGGAGCCCAGAACTGGATGCAGTACTGCAGGTGAGGCCTGACCAGGGCAGAGCAGAGAGCGGGGATCACCTCCCTTGCTCAGCTGGCCGCGCTCCTTTTAAAGCACCCCAGGATGCCATTGGTCTTCTTGGCCAGCAAGACACACTGCTGGCTCACGGCCAATCTGTTGTCCACCAGCACCCCCAGGTCCTTCTCTGCAGAGCTCCTCTCCAGCCGGTCACATCCTAAGCTTACTGATATTTGCAGTTATTCCTTCCCAGGTGCAAGACTCTACACTTGCTTTTGTTCCACCTCACCTGGTTTGTTTCTGCCCAGCTCTCCATCCTGTCCAGATCTTGCTGAATGGCAGCACAGCCTTTCGGCGTGCCAACCACTTCTCTCCCAGCTTTGTCTCATCAGTGCACTTGCTAAGGGTGAACATATCCCCTCATCAAGGTCATTGACAAAGATATTGAACAAGACCTTGAGAGAAACACTCAAAGTCACCAGTTTCAGCTTAGGCAAGGATCTTAGTGATAGCAGCAAAGTTTATTCGTTATTGCAATAACAGGCACATGCTCCCTGTTAATAAGGGAAAAATCGCACATCGGTCAGAGAAATTCATCCTGTTCTGTACTCTGAACCCGACGCAGGCAATGCTCTCCTGGCACTCACTGGTTGAGCGTCTAGGCTCACAATCTCCCCGACGCTGTTGCTATGATGTAGTTCCATATAAGGTCCATTACCAACCTGCTCTTTTTGGTATGTTTTGTACTTCTCCATGGAGATACGAGGGCCATATTTCCAAGAGTGAGCACATTTGTTCTGTGCTGTGCCGTGCTCCCTCTCTCTCTCCACCATGCATATTTGCCTTATTTTGTGCCTGGCTCAATTCCACCCCAATCAGAACACCCCGAATCTTTAACTTTTTAACTCTGCTCAGCAACTTTCTTAGTAGAAGGCAAACAGCTCTTTCACAAGAGGGCTGTAAGTTCAGTAAAGCCAGTACTACATACAGAAAATACTAAAAGCTTCTACTGCAAAAACACAATCTACCTTTCGCAACCAGATCCAGCACCAACCCCCGGGAGCACCGCCACTCACAGCTCTCCAGCCGCACTCTGCGCTGCCGATCACCACCACTGAGCTCAGCCAGTAAACCAGTTCTCAGCCCACCTCATCATCCACTCATCTATCCCACACTTTCTCAGCTTCATTACCAGGATGTTGTGGGAGACTGTAACAAAACATTGCTGAAGTCAAGGTAGGCGACACCCACTGCAGTACCTGAAATAGTCCTTCCCACTCAGGCTGAAGCCTTGATTTCTGCCAGGCGCGTATTAGGACCAGTCTCCAACACGGGATGAGTGCACTGGAAATTCCAGAGGTGGAGTTTGAGCCAACGGTCCACATCCCTTAAGGAATAACAGAGCAGCAGACAACCCGAGTACACAGTTCTGAAGAAACTTACCCTTGGTTTCAAGAGCGGGCATCTCACCCCTCCCTCCCAAGTACAGCCACCCAAACAGCACTTCGTATGGTGATACTCCTAAGCCTTTTCTGTGAGTGGTTCGTATTCTGACAAGGGCTACAGGCAAACACTTTGTCCATGGTAATTTGGTCTCTGAAACCAATTTTGACAAGTGCTTCTTCAGCATCTGATTGATTCATTCTACATTCCCTGAAGAAGGAGGGTGCCACAGAGTATGGAGCTCCCACTTTATTTCTAAAGTTCTCATCAGCTCCTGTAGAACCTGTGAAGAAAAGAGGCTTCCCTTATCTGAGTCCATATTCTGCACAATCCCACATCTAGAGATTGTGTCGGAATGTAGAGTCCTCAGTGCAGAAGAGACATGGATCTGTTGGATCACATCAGAGGATGGCCACAAAAAAAAAAAAAAAAAAAAAAAAAACCAGAACCAAGGGATCAAACAGCTCTCCTCCAAAGACAGGCTGAGAGAGCTGGGGCTGTTCAGCCCGGAGAAGTGAAGGCTCCAAGGCGACCTGGTAACAGCCTTTCGATACCTAAAGGGAGCTAAAGGAAAGAAGAAGGGAAAACTTAGGTTAGATGTAAGGAAAATGTCTTTTTACAGCAAAAGACAAAGGGAAATGGTTTTAAGTTGAGGGAGGGGAGATTGAGGTTGGATGTCCAGGCGAAGTTCTTTACTGTGAGAGCAGTGAGGTGCTGGAACAGCTGCCCAGAGAAGCTGTGATGCCCCGTCCATCCCTGGAGGTGTTCAAGGCCAGGTGGGATGGGGCCCTGGGCAGCCTGGGCTGGTGTGAAATGGGGAGGTTGATGGCCCTGCGTGTGGCGGGGGGCTGGAGACTCGTGGGCCTCAAGGTCCCTTCCAACCCAGGACATTCTGTGATTCTGGGCAGTGGAACAGGCTGCCCAGAGAGGCGGTGGATGCCCCGTCCCTTCCAAGGTGAGGCGGGATCAGGCCCTGGGCAGCCCGATCGAGCTGTGGATGTCCCTGTTCCTTGTGGGGAGTTGCACTAGATCATCACAAACAGTCCCTTCCAACTCTAAGGAGTCTATGGCATGATACCTGAAGCAGTGAGGCATGACGACACAAAGGACATCGATGGCCTGGTGAGCAATCAGGGCAGGCGGGGAAGCCTGCGTGCTCAACAGCACCAGGGAAACTCACAAGCAGTCCAACCAGGAAGATCCACGTCGGCCACAGAGCCTCTCTATGCCGGCCCCATCATTCAACACACCAGAGGTATTGCTGCATGCACTGCTGGGTGCCACGGCTTCAGGGCTGCTATGGAACAGGGGGCAGGGATGGAAGGAAGAGGGCTGGGGAGGTTGGGTGGCGTCCAGACTTGGAAACTGACAGCATCCCCTGATGGCCAGGATGGAGATAACTGCGGTGATCCAGACACAGCACTCCAGCAGAGGACGGCCCTTTGTTTCCTATCAATACAAAGCCACATCTGCCAGCATGACAGAAAGAGCCCTGAGAGCCTGGGGGGGGTCGGCCACAAGGCGCTCGCAGAGCCGTGCCCTGACACCTGTTGCTGCCGACCAATTCCTAAGGGAGATCTGGGAGAGAACTGGGCCAACCAGGAACTGAATCCTTGTACTCAGTATTCTCGAGCAGCGCAGAGCAGACGGCGCTGTGTGAGGATGAAGCAAACAGCCGCTGGGGCCCAGGGCTTTCCTGCAGCTCAGCTCCCAACTGCATCCATGCACCTCATTCTATCACCAGCCACGGAGCTCATGGGGCTGCAAGGACAAAGGGCAGGGAGCAAGGCGAGCCCTGGGGACCAACCCCCATTGCATCTCCAAGGGAGCTGCCCACAGCTGGCCCAAAACCCACCCGCATACAAGCGACGTGTAAACAAGGGGTTCCTGCCACTCCAGCGTCCGCCCCACAGATTGCACAGCGCTGGAACCACTAACCAGAGGAGCCCCAGAAACCCTTCGACCCCATTGAGCCGCAAAACAGAAGGAGATCCAACGAGACACGGAACGGAATTGAAATGCACGCCCCCAAACAACACTCAGCACAGGTGGAATGAATGCGTGGCACAGGAGACGCAGAGGGGACAAGGGCAGAGGACGCAGGGAGGACGCGAGGACACAGAGGGAACATGTCATAACATGGGCTGCGGCAACGTGGGAGCAGACGGAGTGAGTTTGGAGGCCCAGGTTGGAGATCCCACAATGAGAATCACGAAAGAGGGAACAGCGACATCACAAGAAGGTGTTGAGCTTAGAAAGAGTTGCAGAGGAACTCTGCAGAACACAGAATCCCTTTACAGAACAGTGCATCAGCTCCAGGCATTTCTGGAGTCGCAACGCTCAGTCACCCAACCAGCGTCACCTTGGGGCTGACTGAAGCATTCCCGAAACAGATGAGAGCAAAAGAAAGGAATGTCCATCAGTCCCTCCGTTACCAGTTCAGAGAAAGGCAGAGAACCCCTTGACTGCCCTCAGAGAACAAGTGGAAGGCATCAGAAGCAGAGGCAGAGCTGACAGAGCTACCGTAAACCAGCTTACAATCCCCACAGAAAGGCAGAGACCAAAACCCCAACAGCCATCAAGAAAGAATCGCTGACCTCTTTCCACGAACCAGAGCTCACCCAGCAATCCACAGGAGGCATCTCCAGGAAGAAACCCTGCCTGTGGGGCTGCCAGCCCTTAAAATGATATGAGGGAGGGGTGGAGCCAGGCTCAGCCCCATCTGCCCCATGGCTGCATTGCTTCCACCTGTGCAGGCAGGGCTGCACCCCTCACCAGGTGCTCCATCACTGCTTCAGGCTGTGATCTCAAAGTTCCCCTAAAAGCAGGAAGGAAAAAATGAAGTAAAAAAAAAAAGTCATGACCAGCAGCCAATTGGGTCTGCCTGTCTGGCAAGGGGAGGTTTATCCACGGACGAGCTAGGACGGTCCACGTACTTTGCTTCCAGTCTGTCCTCCATGGCAATTGGTGACATTTGTAATAAATAGGGGAGCACAGATTTCAGTGCAGATACAGCGAGGTGCTGAGAAGCTGCACACGCAGCACAGGGGCTGAGATGAGCGGCGTCAATGGAGCGAGTGCTGGCTGCCCAGCTGCCAGGCTCAGCTTACGGCTCCCCAGGGAGAAATGCATGTCATCTCCTCACACAGCAATTAAAGGCCGCTGTGACATTATTGGAGGGTTTGGTGTCCTCAGGGGGTGACCCTGGCACCTGCCTGTATGGCAGCGTGTGGCCTTTTGGCTCCAACAGCAATCCAAACCCCACAGAAACAGAGAGGGACCCAGAAAGCCACTCAGTGACCTGGGAGCCACAAGGGCCCCACAGGTGGCACCGCAGGGACCCACAAATGACACCACGGGTACCCACAAATGCCCCACAGGTGGCACTCCAGGGACCCACAAATGACCCACATCAGCCTGTGACCCACAAGTGACCCACAGGGACCCACAAGTGCCTCTCAAGGGACAAACAACTGAACCACAAGTGCCCCATAAGTCCCCCATAATTGACCCATCAGCGTCCCATAAGTGCCCCACAAGTGTCCTGTCACCAACAAGTGCCCTCCCAGTCACTGGGAGGTGTCACCACAAGTGACACAGCATGGACCCGCAAGTGAGACACACGGCCCCAGAAGTGCCCCACAGCAGCCTGGGACCGTTAACTGGCAAAGGGACCAGGAATTGACCCATAAGTACCCCCACAAGTGGGGCAGCAGGGACCCACAAATGACTGACAGCAGCCTGGGCCCCAAAAGTGACACATCAGCGCCCCACAAGCGACGCATAAGCGACCCACAGGTCCCACATCTGCTTCCACGGCTGCCTTGCTTCCACCTGTGCTCACAGGGCTACACCCTTCACAAGCTGCTCCAGCACTGCTTCATATGCACTCCCCATACAACTCGCCCACCATCCCATTTTGGGGGCACCGACCCCCACCCCGCTGTCACAGCCGTGCGCCGAGGGCACCATCACCCCACTGCGCACGGCCATCAACTCCTCCCAGCACTCCACGCGCCCCACGGGCAGCCCCCAATGCGCGGAACTGCCACCGCCTACCGCCGAATCCCGGCATCAATCCGGCAGGAAAGTTCTTGCCGTGGTCTCTGCTGCCACCGCGTCGCCAACGCGCGGAACTGCCGCTGCCTGCCGCTGAGTCCCGCCAGCGGCAAAACACATGCGCCCAGAAATGCGGAAGTGCCGATCTAACCGCTCTGCACAGCTCATCCGCCGCTCTCTATGGTGATTAGTCCTCCGGCTAACAGCGAATATATGCCCGTCACCTTCAAAACAGCAGCTGTCTCGAAAAACCACTACGGCTACGGGCAAGCAGTCGATTCCGGACCGCCGGCTCAGCGATATATTCTCCCCCGCTAATCCGGGGTGCCCCTCGTCTATTTCCGCCGGTTGATGCCCGAGCCCACCCGGGAACGGGAACGGAAACGGACCGGTTCGGCTCACAGCTGGCCCTCAGCGCCTCGTGGCATCCAACTCGCTCGCCTCCCGGTGAACCAGCAAACGTCCCCTTCCAACCCTAGCCCTGCACCGTCCTCCAGCCATTTAAAAGCCCCCGAGCAGCAGTGCAACACTGCTCAGAGCAACTCGGAGGGGCTCGGAGCTGCTCGGAAGGGCTCGGAGCGGCTCGGAAGGACTCGGAGCGAGCAGCTCGGAGCTGCTCGGAAAGACTCGGAGCGGCTCAGAACGGCACGAAAGCGGCTCAGAGCGGCACGGAAGCGGCTCGGAGCGACCGGCTCGGAGCTGCTCGGAAGGGCTCGGAACGACTTGGAGTGTCTCGGAGCTGCTTGGAAGGACTCGGAGCGGCACGAAAGCAGCGCGGAGCTTCTCCGAGGTTCTCGGAACGACTCGCAGCGACTCGGAGCTCCTCGGAGGGACTCGGAGCAGCGCGAAAGCGGCTCGGAGCAGCTCAGAGCTTTTCCGAGGGGCTCGGAACGACTCGCAGCAGCTCGGAGCTACTCGGAAGGACTCGGAGCAGCTCGGAAGGACTCGGAGCTGCTCGGAGCGGCGCAAAAGCTGCTCGGAGCTTCTCCGAGAGGCTCGGAGCTCCTCGGAGGGGCTTGCAGCGGCTCAGACGGGCTCGGAGCTGCTCGGAGGGGCTCGGAGCTGCTTGGGGGGCTCGGAGCTCCTCGGAGCGGCTTGCAGGTCCTCGGAGGGGCTCGGAGCGACTCGCAGAGGCTCGGAGATTCTCGATCGCGTTACCGGTGTGCAGCAGCACCGACACGAGCATGTCTCGGGAAAGCAATACATCTGAGCAAATCCGGGCTCTGTAACGCGCTATATGTACGCGCCGGTTTCTGCCACGCGAGGCGCATACGCCAGCCGTGGCACGGTAATACGCATGCGCCAGCTCAGCACCGAACAGCGTATGCGGCTTCTTGGCACAGCACTGCGCATGCGTCGGTAATTGCGTGCAGCCCGCATGCGCCGACTTCATGCAGGCAGAACCCATGCGCCTTCCTGGACATCGCACTGCACATGCGTCAGTTTCCTCACCGCAGAGCGCATGTGCAATTCTCGCTGCAGCGCGCATGAGGCAAGTCCAGACAGGGCTCTTTCGTGCAAAATTCACATCTGCTTTTCCATGCGTGTTGTTGGGCACGGATTGGTTACGCGGGGACACCGGAGACCGCGGAAAAAAGTTGGACGCAGTTCCGCATACTGGCCACACAGGGGCAGCGCAGAGAGCGGAAAACACTTCGCTGCAGTTCCGCATATCGGCCACACGAGGGCAGCGCAGAGAGCGGAAAGCACTTCGCTGCAGTTCCGCATATCGGCCACACGAGGGCAGCCCAGAGAGCGGAGAACACTTCGTCACGCTGCACTGCGCATGTGCCAACTTGGTCACTGCACTGCGCGTGCGCCTCCCTTCATGCAGTACGGCGCATGCACCGCTCTCGCAGCGGCACTGCGCATGCGCTCGTCCAGACGCACGCGCAGTCGATTCGCAGTGCACTGCTCACGCACCATTCCCAGCGCTGCACTGCGCATGCGTTTTCGGCCGAGTTCGCACGGCGCATGCGCCAGTTTCACAGCAATGCACATGTGCCAACTTGGTCACTGCACTGCGCGTGCGCCTCCCTTCATACAGTATGGCGCATGCGCTGCTCTCGCAGAGGCACTGCGCATGCGCTCATCCAGACGCACGCGCAGTCGATTCGCAGCGCACTGCGCACGTGCCAATCCCGTTGCAGTTCCGCATATCCGCCACAGGGGGGCAGCCCAGAGATTGGAAAAAACTTCGTGGCAGTTACGCATATCGGCCACACGAGGGCAGCACAGAGAGCGGAAAGCACTTCGCTGCAGTTCCAAATATCGGCCACACGAGGGCAGCCCAGAGAGCGGAAAAACTTCGTTGCAGTTCCGCATGTCGGCCACAGGAGGGCATCACAGAGCGCTGAAAAAACTTCGTTGCAGTTCCTCATACTGTCCACACGAGGGCAGCCCAGAGAGTGGAAAAAACTTCGTTGCAGTTCCGCATGTCGGCCGCACGGTGGCAGAGCAGAGACAGCGGAAAAAACTTCGTTGCAGTTCCCCATACTGGCCACAAGAGGGCAGCCCAGAGAGTGGAAAAAACTTCGTTGCAGTTACGCATATCGGCCACACGAGGGCAGCACAGAGAGCGGAAAGCACTTCGTTGCAGTTCCGCATATCGGCCACACGGGGGCAGTGCAGAGACAGCGGAAAAAAACTTCGTTGCAGTTCCGCATATCGGCCAAGAGTGGGCAGCACAGAGACGGCGGAAAAAACTTCGTTGCAGTTCCTCATACTGTCCACACGAGGGCAGCCCAGAGAGCGGAGAACATTTCTTTGCAGTTCATCATATCGGCCACACGGGGGCAGTGCAGAGACAGCGGAAAAAACTTCGTTGCAGTTCCGCATATCGGCCACACGAGGGCAGCCCAGAGA